ACTACTACAAATCTCCAAATTTTTCGCGCGAATAATTGGAAGATTTTGGAAATTAACCCTTCTTAAAAATTTGTAAGTATGCAGTTCTTGTACTATTGGCCTTCCTAGGATCCCTCTTTGGTTATCTGTCCTAAATATTTCCTATTGGAACCGGTGCCATTTTACTTATCGAAAATAGCTATGGTTTCGGAGATGTGAATCTGACTTCATTTACATTTTTCGAAAAAAAATAATCCAAATTTTAGCCTTTAGTCTTTAGCCCCTGCTAGTCATCCACGGGAAATTGTTGGTTTTCCTGGATCCTTTGTTCTCGCGTTTCCTCGACCTCTATAGAACATTTCTTCTTTATTCCATGTGTACCCTATTTTCGAATAACGTGCCAATTCATATTAAGAAAGCAAACATTTCCAACCTATTTTTTCTGAAAGAACAAACCTTTATCCTGAAACTGACTTCTCTACATTTTTATGGCCTTTAATATTCCTAACGGACATACCTATGATATCAAGAAAAGACTAACTGGTATTTTGTATTCCATCTTCAAATTACCTTGTCCACTCATATTTTTCCCTCTCCAATGAGGTTTTATCCTACTGAACATCATTCGTTTCCAATAATTGACCATTTGGTGACCTCATTTAGAGATAAGGGATTGATAGCAGTAATGAGAACTTCTCCGAAATGTATTTGCGGGACAGACTGCCTGATCAACACTTTAAATTCCGGTAGAAGGTGATTTATTTCTAAAAATTGCTAGGTTGTTCGAGTAGGCTCTCGCCCCTAGGCCCACGTTTGAAAATGGATTTGCCCGGCAGAATCGCAGCAGTCCTCCACCAGAATTCTTTGGGCTTCAGCATGTGCAAACGCCGTCAGCTGTTTATCGGTCATTCATGTTCTATCTCCGTCCAGTGGTGCGACGGCTCCGAAGCAGACCGCACAACGAATTATTCATTTCCAAAGGACAAATAATGGGAAGACGAATTTAGAGCTTCTGTTCCTGTCGATGGATTACGCCTGCCTCGTACATGCGACCAACACCATACCTTCAATTCTTATTGTTGTCAAGTTCAATTATTGTGCTTTTCGGATAAAATTGGGTAGTACAAGAACGAAAGCCTTATTCATTATATAATACTATTTAAGGTTGCTCATAAATTCGCTATTTATACCGAGAACGAACGATCTGCGTGTTTTATATGTTAACGCGCATTCCTTCACAATATCGTGAGTATATGACTTTGGGTGATTACATTTCGCATCGTTTTACCAAGCTCTGTCATAGGTTAACACAGGAATTATTTTTCTTTGCTCTTTCTTCTGGATTCGGAGAGAGCTAGGGAACATACACACGTTATTTGTGCATTCTATGTTGATAGTCATTAGTAATGCATAACAACCTACTACGGGCTCACTTCTTCTTACGACTTAAGGGCTCTGGATGTTGCTATGAGGATTTTTGCATAAGTGTTGTCCGCTGCAAACAGTTTCAACAAAAGTCTAATAAAGTTAACCACAGCGCATTCCAACGCTTAGTTTGGATTTCCAACACAGGCCATTTTAAAACAGAAGCACAATAATATATTGATATTTCAGGTTGTAGCGGAAAAGTCTTTACACACAATTAGAACGTCTTAGTAAAAATACAATGGAAAAATGGACAAATGGACTACAAATGGACTAGAGGCAGCGCCTTTAACGCAATGAGCGAAGGTCCCGGGTTCAAAT